AGATGGAGCCCTACGAATGAAGGCGGCAGCCTCAAAGTACCACTCCCGGGGGCCGTGATCCAAGCGGCCGGTGCGCACGATCTGGTGTCTGCGAGAACCAAGAGGGGTCGTTGAGGCAGTCGAAGGAGCCAGGCGGGTGCGGCGTGCGAGGTCGTTGACGGCATCCCATCTTCGTATTCTTACTTTAAGTAAGGCGGCAGCTGTGCCGGGGGAGGGCCTGAAGCATCGTACACCAACCCTCGTCCCGGCAGCCGTTTCCCGGGACGTCATTGCCAGTATCGACGCGTTCAGCCAGACGCCTCACGGAATCGGTCCGCAAAGGAAGGGTCTCGTCGAAGGAGCTTCAGCATCATAATCAGCACCTCGCATTTGGCGTTGATATCAGGCAGGCAGGACGTCAAGGGTCCCACCCAGTCACGACTCGTGGGAGTCGCTGGCGATCATGAATGCCACTGGGACGGCCTGCCATTGTCTGTCATGAAATTGAAGAATTGCCAGTCACAGGTAAGGTACGGCGAGCCTCAACCTCGGCCGCGAGCATCAGATTAACTCTCCTTGCCGCCACAGCGACTCCCTGTAACCAGTAGGCAAAGCAAGCGCAGGTCTGGAGTTGATTGAGTCCGCACCTTGCGTTAGTCTTGCCACAGCTGCAGCAGCTCGAATGTAGCCAAAATAGGTTCGGAGCAATTACGGGCGAGGGTTTCTTTTCTTCGCTGGCCCTTCTAGCTTATTTTTGTTCGGCCGTTTGCTGGTGATACGGATAGGTAGGTATTTGACGGCCATGGATCTCGATAAGACCTGGCTCGGCCGGGAACGAAACGGGATCTCTGTCAGGCTAGAGAGATTGGGAGAATAGAAAACATTACCAGCCGCACGAGGTGGAAGGCAATTTCTTGGGCCGGGCTCTGTTTGTTTGCCGATGCAGGCATTGTTCAACCATGTCACGTTCACGTCCACAGCCGCGGCGACATGAGGCGAGGCGACGCCGGGGAGAGGCTCCTTTGAGAGGCGAAACCACATGTGCGGGCCGCTGCTACCATCCAGTCATCAAAGACATCTATGCGAAAGGCGCAGAGGGGTCGATGAGCGTCCACGTTGTTCCGACCTTCCAAGTTCCTGTGTTTTATCATGTAAAGTAATATCACGGGGGGTTGACTTAGTGGGACTGTAGATGAAGAGGTGGTGAAATGCCAAGGACCAGAACGTGGGTGGGCGGGCAGAGCTTGATTTGCGGCCCCTATCCAAGATTGGCAGCACTAATATTAGGCCCATTGCAGCCCCTGAGAGGGTGGCGTACCACGGTGGTCCCCTCAGAGTGGCTCACGTACCAGCTACATTCGGCCAGCGCTCCGGCTGGCATTACTTGCGACCTGTCGGGGGCTCTCAGGGCCCACTCCGTCAAGTATCGGTGACTGTGCATCGATGCAGGTCGGCAGGTGCCTCTACTGGGTCCATTGTCTGTCGCATCCTGGATTGGGCGGGCTTCATCGCGTCAACGTGAACCTCAATTTCCAGAACCAGACCGTGTTCTCTGCCAGAGCAACAGGAGAAGGTCGCCTCTTCCCAGCTATCCCAGAACCTGGTCAATCAGTTCGAGTGCAGGTACCTCACAAGCAGGCAGGAAGGGTAAAGGAAAGATTGTCCCTCTCGTCCCCCTTCCCTTCCCCTCCTCTTCCTGGGTGGTACTTTTTATTTTTATTTTATTTTAATAATTGCCGACACATAGGTATCTATCTTGCTGCACCTGCACCAACCCCGACTGAGCCTCCCACACACCCCTCCCACTCTCCTCCTTTTCCCCCCTCTCCCCTTCCCGGAGGACAAGGACCAAACACGTAGAGGCGAACCAAGGCGAAGGGAAAAAAGAAAAAAAAAAAAACCTCTTCACCCTCAAGCAGCCTCCTTTTTAAACTCGATCCCTCAGAGTCCCGCACAGCCAAAGCCTTCTCTTCTGGTTCCCTTCTTCGTTTCTTCCCTAGCTACCACCAGTTGCAACCCAAAGCCGTGCTTAGCCAAGGTTTAGTCGCGGCTCAGGCCAGAAACCGGTGTCTGTTACCATTTACCCCTGGGACCCCCGAATTGCATATTGTTAAAGTACCTGTCGCTACCCCACGACACCTTTAACGAGTGCTTGGCCGTCCCGTCCGCTCGCTCGCTCTCGTTTTGCGCGTCCTGTCCTTTTTTTTTTGGGGGGGGGGCATCTGAGCTGTATCAAATTGCTCCGCCAACACCAACATCACCGCCCTCACCACCTTCACCACCCTCGACCCTCCATCTTAACCTCAGACGTCCTCCTCATCACCGTGTCCTCTCTCCCACCACACCGCATCACCGTACCGACACAATGGGCGCCGACGAGAAGACGCGCGTCTCGGGCGAGGTCCCTCGTGGAGAAAACGGCTCTATCTTGCCCACGACGAACCCAGACCTCGAGAAGTCCCAGCCTCCCAAGGCTGCCATTCACCCTGCGCTATACGTCATGTAAGAAGAAACCAAACAATTGCTTAGTTCAAAGTAGTGGCCCTTCGCAAAGTTTTGCTGACTTGGAATCCCAGCGTCTGGATCTCTCTGTCCTCCTCCGTTATTCTCTTCAACAAATGGATTCTCGACACCCTCAATTTCCGTAAGCCAGATTCCTCTGACAAGCGATCACCGCCGACAAGGCTAATCGAGCACAGGTTACCCGGTTATCCTGACGACCTACCACTTGACCTTCGCGACCATTATGACCCAGATTCTCGCGCGCTGGACTACTGTTCTCGACGGACGCAAGTCGGTCAAGATGACTGGTCGTGTCTACATGCGGGCCATCGTGCCTATTGGCGTGTTCTTCAGCTTGAGCTTGATCTGTGGCAATCTGACCTACCTGTATCTCTCCGTTGCCTTCATCCAAATGCTCAAAGTAGGAACTCCATGACCCGACATTCAACACCCAACCGCTAACAATCATAGGCCACCACACCCGTCGCCGTTCTGTTGTCTGGATGGGCCCTCGGTGTCTCCCAGCCCAACCTCAAGGTTTTCCTTAACGTCTCCATCATCGTTGTCGGTGTCATTATTGCCTCGATGGGAGAGATTAAGTTCGTTTGGATCGGTGTCATTTACCAGATTGGTGGTGTCATCTTCGAGGCCCTGCGGCTCACCATGGTCCAGCGCCTGCTCAGCTCTGCCGACTTCAAGATGGACCCCCTCGTGTCTGTCTACTACTTCGCTCCCGTCTGTGCTGTCATGAACTTGGCTGTTGCCCTCGTATGGGAAATTCCCAAGGTCAGCATGGAACAGGTCTACAACGTCGGACTCTTCACCTTCTTCCTGAACGGACTCTGTGCCTTCTTGTTGAACGTTTCCGTCGTTTTCTTGGTAAGTGTTTGTGCACAGCAAGGAAACATTCACGTGCTTACCATAGTCAACAGATCGGCAAGACCTCTTCTTTGGTCCTGACCCTCTGCGGTGTTCTCAAGGACGTAATGCTCGTCGTTGCGTCAATGATGATTTGGGGCACGCAGGTTACTGGTTTGCAGTTCTTCGGCTACAGCATCGCCCTTGGAGGCATGGTCTACTACAAGCTCGGCTACGAGCAAATCAAGGGCTACATGGGCGAGGCCGGCCGCCAGTGGGCCGACTTCGGCCAGCGCAAGCCCATCTTGCGCAAGCTTAGCATCATCGTGCTCTCTGCTTTCGTCCTCTTCACGCTGCTTGGGGGCCTGGCACCCACATACGCTCCCGAGTACGACCCCCACAACCTGATCAACGAAGTCAACAGCCATTTCGGCAGCAGCAGGGCATAGGCTACAGGATAGACGCAATCTCCTTGGCCTACCATTTCCTACTTGTAAGCGTAGAGATGTGACGATACCAGATTCTCTTCCGCGACGAAATTACCCTGTTCAGAGTACATATTACGAGCTTCTCTTCATCCTGCGCCCATTGACCCCATTTCTTTTTAATCCGGAGGAGATCGGAACGTTTGTTTGGGAAACTACCACGTGTACAGCTATAGAGCAAAGGCGCAGAGCGCAGAGGGTCTAGGTTGCATGGGTCGCCTCATGAAGTTCTAATCTGATGTACTCTAGACGGCGAAGATATAGACATGTACGTACGCAATGATACAAAAACTTGAACCAAAATGTCTAGGGCATCTACATGATGCAGTGTGCATGCCGAGGCGCAATATGCTGGTATGCATTAAGAAGTCCAAGTTGGAGTATTGTAAACCGACGGCTGATTTTCCCCCACTTTTGGTTTGCACTCAAAAGCTCATAGAGTCAATAAAAGTACAAGGTAGAAATAGCCACGACGTTGAAGATGATGATAAGAGATGGTGACGACGACTGCAGAGACGGTAGAGCCACACGAAGTATGTGTGGTTGCTTCAGCACAGTCATGCTGAGGTGGCCTCTTTGAAGGGGTTCGATATTCTACGGCGAATGCTGCTCCGTTAAATATGGCATGGAGCTGTACCCAAAATCCCGTCTTGCACCAAGACTATGCAAGCTTTCGGCGTGCGCATGCCGCGGCTTGCTGCAAACCATTGGAACACACGAGAGGTTGACCTTGAGCTACCGAGACAGTGGGATCGGTTGCCAAGTGTGTGATAAACCCCATTCACGAACGATGAGAGACTGAATTTGGCTTGCTTGAGGTGTTCATTTTCATTGATCGTGGCCGTCTCCCACGGCCGAGGGCTGAATTGTGCCCATCAGTCATCAAAGACCTTTCTATCACTCTCTTCGGTCACAGTAACTCAATCCACACCTTTTGAGGTATCACAGGCAAATGTCTTGATTTCAATGGTTTCTCATTGGGAGCCCTTAAACCGAGGACCTCAGATGCCAATTGATGCTCTTTACAAGCCAGCCCAACTCCCCGACCTGTTGACGATTGCAGAAACGGATTCCCTTTTCAAAATCCTATTGCGAGTTAGCTAGGTGCTCATGCGCATTTGTCACCCTTGAACCGAGGCGATGCCATGCACAATGCCCTTGACGGACGGTAAGGTATCACATACTCAGAGGCGTGAAGAACCATCTGTTCTTGCCGCTCGTGTAACGCTCCTCCAGAACCTTCTTCACCGTCTTCTTGGCGTCCTCACGCTGGGTGACCTCCTTGAAGGTGTCGTTGGAGACGACGCCCTTGAGGCCCTCAAGCTCAAGAGTGTAGCGAGTGGGCATCAAGTGGTTGTAGTTGACAAGCTTGACGAAGGGCTTGATCTTGTTGCGCTTCTCCTGGCGGGTCTTGGACATGCGGCGGGTGATCTTGGAAGGGTAGCGCTCGATTCCGGCGACGAGGGCGTGGCCGAAGGGGTGAGCCTTGTTGCCGGAGTCGACAGGCTGGATGATGACGACCTAAAAATAAATCGGACGTCAGTACTGTCTGGTCTCGTATCCAAGTTGAACAGCAATTTCTCCCAGTCGAGCGGTATTGGAAATTTCAGCGTCGTCGTCGGGGTCGTCGAATGAGCTTTGATCGATCGCAGTCCTCCTCTTTCGTTTCGTCTTCGCGATGCACATCCCCCACCCAGTACCTCCTATCTTCGTCCGGCGACGTGAAATTTCCATCCCCCTCGACAGGAGGGATTGCGTGCGCTGCTCGCAGATATTCGACTGAGTTCGTACCTTCTTGCCGGCGTAGCGGCCGTGGGTGATGATGGCGACTCTGCCGACCTTAAGGAACTTCATGGTGACCTGCGTTGTCGGGGCTTTGGGCGTGCTGAGGTGAGATTGTCGACGGACCGCTTGCCTACGAAATGTTCGTTGTAGCGCGAAATTGAAATTTCGACTGCGACGTGTGGGTGATTTTCGACCTAAAGGCACGTGCTTAATCACGTGACTATCAAGCCTCTTCTTTCAGGCTGTCCCGTCCCACCCCACCCGCCGCGGTCGTGTCCGAGCGTCTGTGCTGTCTCTGTAAGGCAATACCCAGGTAGGTAGGTACCTGGGCAGGGCGCCTTGGGTCGGCGTTGTTCGCACCAGTTCCCGAGGCTCGATAACGACGACATACTACATTTCTACTCGCACTCTGTCCACCCTAAAGCTCAAGGCGATCCCTTCTTGCACACAATGGCCGCCCCTCCAGCCTACATTATCTCAAAGGTCGCAGACCCCGTCTTCGCACTGGTCATTGGTCTTGGTGCTGCTGCCACGCGAATCAATCGTGAGGAAAAAGAGAAAGGCAGGACGACTCAGGAGACTATCGCCGCTGCCCAGAGGCATGTTATTCCCTATTGCTGAATAAAATAGCTTCGGCCTCTCTTCGTGGACTGGACTGACCCGAGCATGTGTCACACAGGCGACTAAGAACCTCAAAGTTTTCCTCTTGAATCTGGATTTCTGCATATCACGACGAGAGCTCAAGGGAGAAAGCGCGATGCACAGCAGTACAACATGGTTCATGGAGACGCGGTCTCTCGCGGTCTATATCTGTGTATCTTTAATCACCGAATGAAGGGCCGTACTCCTTCTTCATCGCCTCTCGGACCATCTGGCCACACAGCTTCGCCGTTGGGTTTGTGCTGACTGCCAAACCTTTGGCTATGTCATTCCCATACCTGCCGCCCAAAGCAAAGTCGCGCGACGCCGCCTCTTCGAATTCAAGTTTGCTCCAGTTACTCTCACGTCTTTCCTCGTCCACTCGCACCTTGAAGCGGGGCACCAGCTTTGCGGTCATGTGGTATATGGCTGCTCGCTGTGTATAGGCAAGAGACAAGGTCTTAGCCGCTTGGGGCGACATGGCGCCGTAAATTGTACGGGGTGTCAGAAGCACGATGGATCTCTCAATGTCTTCCAGGGCGACCTTGGCTTGGAGGCTCATTTCAGCAACGTCAGGATGCTCAACAAGCCGCTGACTGGTTGCAGGCGCCTCTGCCAGTAGCAATGTGTCCCCATAAAGGCGTCGAAGTGCCTGCACACGGTTGTTTCTGGCGCTGGCATAGTTGGGGTACTCGGAGATGAAACCCTCCAGCTTCGATAAGAGGGCCCTGTACTCCTGGACTGGCTCAATCGCCGTCTTTGGTCTCAAGCCAGCCAATTGGAGCTCCAGCTGCTGCATAGACAGGACAATCTCCCTCTCTTTCTGGATGACACGCTCGTAGACGGATGTGTCGGTGATTTGAGGGTCGCGAGGAAGCGACGGATCGAGCAGGATGTTGGCTGAGGGATCGGATTCAGGATCTTTGATCTTGTCGAGCACATTGACGTCGTGCTGGCTCAATCCCACGACCGCCATGGTTTCGGTATTTGTTGAAAGGTAGCTATCAATCCCGAAGTATGCCGTTCGTCTTTCTCTTGGAGGGCTGGCTCAGAATAAGTTGATAACCTGTTATTGGGAGAGGGTTCTCCGAATGGCCGACTGTTTTTGAACCGCGCACTGGAAACACTTGACAATTTGCGCGGCGACTCTCGGAGACTTATCAGACAATGTTGCTGGAGCGGATGCAGCGGGTAACCGAAGCGCGTCTGAACATTCCGCACACCAACGGCTATGGAAGGGTTTCAAAGGAGAAGCGATAAGCAATGCCGTCATTTGTAGTGGGTAACGCGCGCCCGCACGCACACACACATTGTACCATCCCTCGGTTTACCAGAGAGTGACGGAAACACCGGCTGCGATTGCTACAGCTCTGACATCCTTTGTTCTTGGGCAAGGAGGCAAGTACCAGTTGGGATAGCGGGCATAGCCTGGAGCATCCGAAGCATGGTGGGGATCGTCAAGCCGCGCCGCGCCCATGGTCCGGCCAGGGACGGCTTATCTCGGCTCACCACGGCCATCTGCTCGGCCGGCGAGTTTCCGCACGCGATTACATCTCAACACACGGTTCTGTTCAACCCGCCGCCAACCTCTCCTTCCACTTTCGGCACCATCTGCTAAGGATCGAGGCGAGACCAGGATGACGCCCAGCACGAATGTGTGCCGGGTCAGACATTGTATCAGAGGAGACCCGACCCCGAAACTAGCCACTAACAGGCGTCGGATTTGCTGCATTTGGAACCGCCCAGTATGCGCCGTGGAATGCAAGGCAACACAATATCCCGGTGCTTGTGAGCGGAAGTCCGTCCTTGGGATACTGTTTAAGGTTCATCAAATATACCCTGTTTCCAAGTACTTATATGGAAGACGGTGTACCAGGCACAACCAAATCCATTCCCTTTCGCTCCCTCACGCCGACATCCGTTGCCAACATAGGATCGATTCAGGAGATCTCATCACACGAATCAGCATCCATTCATATTTATACTCGTGACATTTAGGTCTCCTCCCCCCCGAAAACTGCTGAGTGTCAATGTCCCCTTCTGCAATCACAGACTCCCCGCCACAGACCGCCGCCTATCCGGCATCGACTGACCTCGGCGATGGCCTTGCAGTGCAGCATCCGCCGCCCAACTTCCGGGGCTACGACCACGTAACCTGGTGGGTGGGCAATGCGAAGCAGGCTGCTTCTTACTACAATAACCTCTTTGGGTTCAAGACCGTCGCGTACAAGGGACTCGAGACTGGCAGCAGGTACATCTCATCATACGCCATCGCCAACAACGACGTCCGCTTCGTCTTCACATCCCCCGTGAGGTCTTCCGCCCACCTGCCCGAGGATGAGCCCATCTCTGACGCGGAGCGCAAGCTCCTGCGTGAGATTCATGCCCACCTCGAAAAGCATGGCGACGCCGTGAAGGACGTCGCTTTTGAGGTCGACAACGTCGAGGGCGTGTACAACAAAGCTGTCCAGGAAGGCGCTCAGTCGATCCAGCCCCCTCTCGTCCTTGCCGACCCTGACCATGGCGATGTGTTGACGGCCGTCATCTGCACCTACGGCGATACCACCCACACCCTTATTTCTAGGGGTAACTACAAGGGACCATTCCTTCCTGGCTTCCGCGCCGCAAAGCCATCGACTTCCTCCATTACCCTACCTGTGGCCCCCTTGGCCCGCATCGACCACTGCGTTGGCAACCAGTCCTGGAATGAAATGGTCACAGCGTGTGCCTTTTATGAGCAATGCCTTTCCTTCCACCGCTTCTGGTCTGTGGACGACTCTCAGATTTGCACAGAATTCTCCGCTTTGAACTCCATCGTAATGTCGTCAGCCAACAACCTCGTCAAAATGCCCATCAACGAGCCGGCTCCCGGCAAGAAGAAATCGCAAATTGAGGAATACGTCGTGTTCAATTCGGGGCCAGGTGTGCAACACATTGCCCTACTTACTCCGAACATCATCGAAACCGTGTCAGCAATGCGTGCCCGCGGTGTAGAGTTCATCGCCGTTCCTTCCACATATTACGATACCATGCGCCATCGACTCAAGACGGAGAAACGTAACTGGGAGCTCAAGGAGGACCTGACCACCATCGAGGCCCTCAACATTCTCATCGACTACGACGAGCAGGGCTATCTATTGCAATTATTCACCAAGCCGCTGATGGATCGGCCTACTGTCTTCATTGAGATCATTCAGCGCAACCACTTTGAGGGCTTCGGCGCCGGTAACTTCAAAAGTCTGTTCGAAGCAATTGAGCGCGAGCAGGCCGAGCGTGGCAACTTGTAAAGCATGCTGCGTTGGCGCGGAACACCCTGCCTGTCGCAGCACAACAGGGCAGGGGATTATTTCGAGACGCTAGGACTGAAATCCACAAATAAGGAGGTGACGGCATTTCTTCATCAGCTAAGCATAGTAGCATAGGCTTATTATTAAATGTTTGCCGGATCGTATCCGTTGCACCTTCATCCGTTCTCTCGTATCCTGTGCCAATCCTCAAGTACTATCGTGATACCTCCTCATGCGTCGACAGCCATTGCCGTCCCGTTTATCTGATGCTCATGTACTCCATTGGTCGCAATAACATCATCCATCCTCGCTCCACGGGTTCCACTTTGACAGCCGGGGCAATTATGGATAACCTCATGAGCGTATACATCGCAGTCGATGCAGAAGTGGCTGTTGCACACAGTGCAGGCATATCGACCGCTTTCGCTGACCCCTTTTAGCTCAGATGGTGCCACTGTGGTCGGAGCCACTGGCGTTGTTGTAGTCACCCCGTCATTGTCGTTCGCTTTTTCCTTGTCCCTCTTCTTGGAGGCCCTAGGCGGTTCTGGGAAGGCCGTGAGACAGGAGTAGCAGGCCTTGGAACTTCCGGCCTTGGCCCAGGGTACCTCGACCCAGTTTCGAAGTGGGAATAGATGATGGTACGAGCGAGCGAGGTGGGTGGATAAGATGAGTGTCAGGCCGCACGCTGGGCATTCGATGGGTAGACGACACACACGGGTGCTGCAACGAGTGCAGAGGTAGCCTTCACGAGCGGGCTTGTTGTGGCAGGCGCAAATGGCGGTGGCTTCACCCCGAACGAGTGTTCTTGATGGAAAACCCATCATGAGCAAGGATGCAGTGCTCTGCGCAGCGGTGCGGGTGACGGGCGGGGTGGTGGCAGCGAGGAGTAGATCTCTGAAGTGGGCATCGTTCATACAAACACTATACTGAGTGTCATCACCGGAGTTTGTCCGGCTGCAAAGCTCGGCACAGATGGCAACCTGCGCGGCAAGACCGACGACAGAGACGCGGATGCGATCGGTTATAAGAGAAGATATCGTTTCGTGAATGTCAGCAGGATCGGAGGAGAGCAGAGCGCCAAAAACCACGAGCACCTCGCGGGTGCCATGCGAAGGGGCGTGACTATGATTCAGCCAGTCAGTGGATGTTCCAAAACAGAAGAGCGGGAGGAGTTTGCACGTACAAAAGTGCACCGCGACACATCTCAAGGGCGTTCTGTAAGCTGGGGTTGCCTGATGGGTCTTGCCCCTCGAAGGACTTCAGCTTCTCAAGGTGGTCGGTGGGGTTGCCACTCATGTCGCTGATTCTAAGAGCAACACCATCTCGCATCCCAATGATTCCAAGTTGAGAGATAGGGTTCTGCTCGAAGTACTCTTTGACGAAATCTGCCGCGTATGCCCAAGTGACGCGGTAGCGATTGGGTAGCATATCCTTCTCTGTCATGGCGAATGACATGTCCAATACAAGTACCAAATGCCGAATAATTCCTCGCTGGAGCGGCGTCGTATCTTTGAGCAACCTCCTTCTCTTTTCAGCCTCAAGACTTGCACCAACCGCCAGGCTGCCGTCGGCGCCCTCTGTAACTTCCTCCCAGCTGCGCTTGACGTCCTCCCACCGCGCCTTGGAGTGCCCACTCTTGCCTTTCTTGCCACGCGCTTTCCCGGGTTTTCCGCCTGCGCCGTTGCCGTTGGTTACTCGATGATCGTGGAGATCGTCATCGGACATGTCCTCGACGTACTCGCCGTCGGAGTCGGCCATGATAAGTGGCGTCGGTCGGGATCGCTAGACGGAGAGATGCTTGGGTAGTTTCGGGGTGCGTGTGAGCTAGTGGATTTGTATTGGTTCTTCTCATAGAGATTTCGGGGTCGATCCTAGCGTTTGTTTGAAAGGCGAGCACGAATGCTGCACTTTTTCGCGAGTTGTCGTTGTTGGATGAAATGAGCAAACAGGGTCGCAAGGCTTTAGCGGAGAAGATCGCAGCCTCGTAGTCTAGTCCCTACGCTGACCCCAACAGCCAATAAAAGCTGGCCTGGTGCACGACCCTTGCCAGGTTGCTTCGCATACCCGAATTCCATTCCATGTTGGCGACCCTCAGCAGAGACGTGATTTAAACCACTAGTGAATTCAGTGTTTTCCTTCGCATCCGTAATCATTCTTCTACTGCTTTGCATCTGCGCCTATTATAGGTCTCTTGTGTTGTCTGCCCACTGCTGCCGGAATTAGGCACGTAATGATTCCTAGGTGCCAATCTTCGTCGACGGGGCTTCCATCTACAAAGTAGATAGTGCAAACGACATCGTCACAAGTCACTCCCGGTCTAACATGGAAAGTGTTCCGACATGCTTCAATATGTCAATTCAATCATTCGACCTCTTATACATTAGTCGCTTCGTCAGGGTATAACTGCGTAAAATATCAAAGGCCATGCGCTGTACAGTAATCGACAGGCGGGGGGGCGTCCGTCATTATGCATCCAAGCAAGACTAGGGGAAACCACTTTTACAACCACCCTACTGCCATCTTCGCACGCAGCTCGAGAAGACGCCGTTCACTACTCTCATGGCAGCGCATCAGGCAGCCGATCTGCCTAGCACCGTGTCCAAACTCCGTCGATGGTTGGGGAATCGAATTAAAAAAAAAAAAAAAAAAAAAAAAAAAAAAAAAAAAAAAACCGCCATGCGTGTCTCATGCCTTCAAATCAAATGATCGTGCGAATAGTCTGCCCTCAATGGTCATTCGTGAAAGAGTGTCTGGAAAAGTGTGCCCAAGAACCCGATGGGTTGTCTCTCCATGATCATGACCGTATCGCGGTCTGATCTTCTGCTGTCGTTTCCCAATGGTTCCTTCGGTGCGTTGTCTCCCGAACTTTGGGAACCACCAACGTGCCTGGTCCCTGCCTCGACGCCAGAGAGCTATGGGTATCTTAGTTGGTAGGCTGAGATGCGGCGGGGTTCTGAGGCAATCTTCGAGTCGCAATATCCGTGGTGGGCATTGTCATTGGGGTGAGTGACCGTCGGGTTGCTATAACATCGTCAAGGCCCATCTATGCCGGGCCCCTCTCTCGACACAGTTCGTATTTTCCATTATGAAGATGGCGATGAAGCTCGAGGCCCTCGGCTCCTTCTTGACCTGTCAATGAGTGTCCCTTATCTCTGCTCTAAGGGTATGCGTTTCCGACAGGCATTGGCCAGTCGTCTTCGGTGATGCTGGACCAGAAGATCCACACCGTCACGACGGCCAAAAGGGTGAAGAGCGTTTCGAAGAGGGCGCCGTCAATCTTGCCCGAAGTGCCGTTGCAGATATGGGAGCTGACAACGTAGTTGAAAATTTGGCCGATGGCGAATAGCAACAAGGCAGCCGTCAGGTAGATCATAGGTCGCATCTCGCCGAGGATGCGAACGACGAGTATGGCCTCAAGAACGAAGAAGGCGACGAGAAAGACGAGAGGTGCCAATTGATACAGAATGTAGAGAGCAATGTGGCGGTTGGGGGGCGACTGATAAGACGAGTCCCAGTATCCGGTCCAGTGGAAACCAGTGTCGAGTGTGATGTATAACGTGCCGCCGAAGAGTATGAAGGCGGAACCAAGGATGAGACCCATAGACAACGGCGTTCCATCGTCGACGATTTGGTAGCCAACAACAGCATTGAGCATTAAGATCCAAGTGGCCGCAATTATAATGCCAATGTGAATGCCAGTGAATGCCTTGGCATGTGTTAGCTTACGCACCTCACTGTAGAAGATTTGGCCGTAACACTTACGATTCGAACATTATCAGCCAGAGGAAAGTCTCCAACGGTGAAAATCTCGCATAGTTGTAGGATACCAAATGCGACCAGGAACAGTTGCATTTCCCTAAGTGGTAAATCAGTACTTTTGGTTGCCAAAACGGAGCACAAGCGCGATGCGCAAACGCTGCTGGAAGCTTACCTCCGGCCGACAGCAGCCTTTTTCCGCTCTGATCGGAAATACAAATAACCAGCCGTGAGGATGGCGATGAAGCAAAGCAAAATAGAGCCCAGGTTGCCCAGCTTGTGACCGCCACTAAGAGGAATTCCTGTCAATTGGCAGCCGCCCCATGGTCCGTCCTGGCTGTGATTGTCGGAAAGCACCTAAACATGTCGTGTCAGACTGTCAACGCACGCCGTGTCAGGGATGGAGGCACAAGCTGTGGTACTACACACATTGCAGACGGGCAGCGTTGAATCCCGGCAAAAGTTCTGTAGAAATGGTCAGCATGAGCGGGAAGTCAGACTGTTCAAAATGCCACCATGCCCGGCAGAAAGCTATCATTCAATGGACGGAACCTACATAGAAGTTGCCGAATTGTGTCGAGCCCATTGTGATGGACGTTTGCGGCTGGGTTCAAAGGCTGAAATGCCAGTGATTTGAACTTTGTTTTCCTTTCGACACAACGGTTCGCCGACCGAGTCGCGTTGCGGTCAAACAGTGGCTTCGATGTTTCGATGAGGCGGCTTTTGGAGCTAGTACTAGGGCTGTGTTGCAAACTTGGTCATGAAGCGTCGGACGAGGTCGAGAACGGCAAATGGTAACGTCGGTCGCAGTGCAGCCCGATCCTCCAGGATTGTATAACAAGATATCTGAGGAATGTTGATTCAGTCTTTGTACTGTTGGGTGGTCGGTGGTGGTAGTGGTGGTTGTGGATTCTTCCTGGTTTCGCAGTCCCGTATTAAATTCTTCACTTCAAGGCGATGCGACGACTTTCCCCCTCTTAACACGACACTCGCGGCGCGCTCTCTCTCTCTCTCTTTCTCCCTCGTTCTGCCTTTTACCAAGCCGTCGATGAAAGTAGAGGGTAAGCAAGAGTCCTAGACGAACCCGATACAACGCAAGGCGGATGGGCGGGGGTGTTGGGTCGATGTTGCGAAGGCGACGGTAAACGCGAAGTAGTGGCGAGTGCACTTCAGTGGTGGTCCAAGACGGACAGGCAGAGGTATGCAAACCGGGTGCAGCAGGCGCAAAGGACGGGACGGAAAAGGCGCAGGATAAAGCAGTAAAAGCGGCCGCGGTGGGCAGCGGGACAATATAAGCCAACCTTGGAACTTGGTAGGGAGTGGAGGCCTTTGGGACACCTGGTCGTGGTACGGATTCTCTTCCAGTAACAGCGCCGGGATGCTAAGGCAGGAACAGGGACAGGAGCGACTGGCCAAGGGGGCTGCCCTTGCAACCTTCGACGCCCTGCCATGCGACGAGCAATTGACCTCAGCCGTAGAAGATTCACGAGGATGAGAGGGTGAGAGAGACATGGAAAGACGCGGAGGAGGGTGGGCAGGCACGTTGCGACATGGTACGTGTCCCAAGATACAGGGCATGGCGCATCAAACTGGAAAGAGACGAGGGTAATAAAACGGATCCCCCGCCTGATGACGCTAGACCTACTGGCGCTCCCGACGAGCGGCTGCACGCATCATGATTGGACGATGCATCTTTGGGACGACGGCCTTCCAAGCATGCGAACACGATTGGTGGGGTCTTTCCCAAAAGTGTAATTTGGCGACCCCGGCGACCCTGTAAACCCTGTGTGAAGCTTCTTCTTCCTGCTCTATTCTTCTTCCCTTTTTTTTTTTTTTTTTCCCTCTCTTTTTGGTGCTGTTCTCCTCTTCCTCTTGAACTCATCTCTCTGCTGTCGTCGCGCCCCGTGTCTGTCTCCCGGCAAAACTCAAGGAAATCGTTGATGCGCCGCTAGCCCTGGAAAGTAGTGTGTACTGGATCAGGATACGGATACCGCTCTTCCCTTCTTCCCGTGCTCTTTTTATATCGGTACTGTGTTCTACCGTCTATCGCTCATCATGGATCTGTGACTGGCGCTGGTAGGGGCAACGGTGCAATTAAGGTGCTGCAAAAGACGATGCTCGTCCGATGTTGCTGGATGAATGAGGAGCATACAGCAAGTGGTGGACAACTTCTATGTATCTGAGGTGCAGCTTGAGCGTCATGACGAGACTCTCCCCCCACCACCTCGGAACCAACCTCAGCATTTTAAGAAGTCGCAATGCAATGCGGGTACCGTGTGGTAAGGCAACGCCGAAAACCCCGGGAGCTTGAGTCGACTAGCCTCTCCACTGCCAATTCAACCTCTCGCAAGACCAAATAAGAGCAGGATCAACGGCAATGGCTCAGCAAGGAAAAAGCAATGTGAAGTCGAGGTAACTTGTCCATAATTTCATAGCTTTGTTATGCGCCATGGCCCGTGATTGACAAGCTGGACCTGGTGTTGGACCGTCGGCCACTACGGTGCACTAACACGACAAGTGTAACGCACCATGCAATACCATGCCATCCATACCTTAGCTTCGTTTTGTTACCTTCATTTCCCACTCGTCCACTGATTGTGGCCAGAGACCGACCTTCTGGCCCTGGTTCTCCCTCTGCGCTCCCTCTACATATCTCGACTTGCCGCGACCACGAGCTCGTCCTGGTCTAGCACCTAGTCCCCCCCGGCCTGTACAGGCCCCCAAGACCTCGGCGCCTGTGTCACCACCTAGGTTCATTATGTCCCTGCAATTGTATCACGTCTTCCTCGCTACTTTCGGGCGAGACGAAAACATTGAAGCACCTGGTATCAACCCAATCCGAGTTCTCGAACCTGTCATACTACCTAAGTATATACTGGTAGTCGTGAAGCATAACTGGATCACGTTTTCCGCAAGACAGATGTCCTATGCATCTGGCACCCTGGAGCCTGTGCCTTTGCAATTCGCGACTGCTTTGCGGCGTCATTGAATGACACTGACCCTACGACAATGCCAGCTGTTTCCCCCCTTCTTCCAGGAAATCACGCTGCGCAAAAATCCGAGACGATTCGCCCACCTCAGTCAACCGCTCGGCGCGTGTGGCTGCCAACGCCAAGCCGGCGGGCCGACCTATGAACATGCGAGCCTAGCAGCCTAGGTACCTACGCCGTACAGATTGGCACTGGCAGTGGCACAGACTACGGCCCTGCCTGGCAGGCCCTAGGCCCCCTGACAACCGCCGCCAGGTCTGATTCTGGGCGGTAGCCGTCTGGTCCATCTGGTCCATCCCTACCTAGGTATCCGTACCTTACCTAACACACGTACCTGTGTGGTGTTCACCGAACCCTCAGCTCTAGCTTGGATTGCGGCATGGCCAAGCACACTGGGCCGGGCACAACTTGTGGGAATGCGGCCAACGAGCGGCCCTATAATAGCAATGTGAGTTGCAGGTTCAAAGGGATTGAAACAACCAGGGCGACGGGACGAGCGGCTTGATGAAGGTGCCTGCCTTACTGCGAGTTTCGAGACATCACCATAATCAGCCAATTGATCTATTGCAAGTTGTGAACTTGCTATCTGTATTTACACCCATGTGCAAAACCCGTTGCTCCATCCACACAAGAAAGTTCGTACGGGCACCTCACAACCACGGAACCAAGCCGGGACAGCAAGGCCGCTAGCCTTGTTCTTACCCAGACTCCCGTTTTCGCGGTGTGATGGTTGGCCCTGCAGTTAAGATTTTTCTCGCCTTCATCCAACATGGGCCGGGCTAGGTTGCTCGTCCACCTCAATAAGATCCCACACCGACGGCTGACGGCTGACGGCTGTCATCGTCGTCGTGGCTCGCCTGTCCACCGCCTGCCCACCGCCTGACAGCCTGCTCCGATCCGAGGACGGACCGCCAAGCTACAACCCACGATAGAGCTAGCGGTGTTCGTAGTCTCAGGTTAGTTCGCTGTCCGATGACCAATGATTCGATTCAAGGGACAGGGGTTCCCCCGTAGTCTCGGCAACAGTCTGGGGCCCTCGTCGTACGCAACTACCATAGTAACCCAATGGCCGAGTCCCCTGTCGTTGCCCTCCCCCTGCCATAGTACGGACCTTGTTTGCCACCAACCAGACAGACTATTGTCTGTTACTCGGGTTAAAGCAACCACCCATTGGCCGCATCGCGTCCCGTTTGTCAATCATATGGTACCTGAGAATGGCATTAACGAGACGATACGGATATGGCGATAAATTGATTCAATTCTACAAGGAGAGTAGGGATACCTTCTCAGTGTAGCATATCAGCCTAGGTACCTAAGTGCATCCAATTTCTAGTCTTACCTTGCGGCTAAGGCACCTCTCGATGGCGAGAATACCTTGCCCATTTGGAGTTGATCTTTCGCCGCGCGTAGCAGTAAGTTATTGATAATTTGAATCTGGAGCGATGGAGGAGGGCGTCATCTTTCGAGGCGACTGCAAGCTCACCCTGCAGTTTTGCAGTTATACGGAAGGTTAAGGCGGCAGCACAACTACTGACCGAACGCTCGCCCAACCACACCGCCACACTCGGCGCCACTCGACGAAGGCTGCCTGCTATGTAATCATCGACAGGCAAGACAGAACGTGGTCATGCGTCTTTCACGATCAAGTTTCTCTTTTTTTCATGGCCTTTGCACCAAATATTGGCCCCGCAATCGTGGGATCTAAGATACGAAAATAGAGTCTCCAGATCCCTCGCGGCGATCATGAGCATCTCGCCTAGTATTTAACAGAAACCTGCGCCTCCGTCGAAATGCAGTTGCCAACTGTGCGGGTGGCGCGGACGCTAGGAGCATGAAAGGCGCAAAAAATCAAAGTCACTTTCTTGCTATCAGACTTTGCAATGGGAGAATCTTTCGGCAACACGGCTGCGTCCGTAATACGGTGACAGAGCAATTTGCACCTGTCCCGTCGCACTTTTACCTTATCTTATCAAGTTGGAGTGGCACCTTGCCGAATTGACAGTACATGCACCTAACTAGCCTGCCCGCCTTGCAACAGGCACCGGCCGGGTGTGGTGGGTGCCCTACCAACGAAGCCAAACAGCTCATCCAGCGCTACCTAATGTAGGTGGGATTAATGCAGTCCGTTGCCCCGCAACCCGGGTGGGCAAAATAAACGCCTCGATTGCTGGTTGGGGGGCATCGCCACTAACACAACTCACCGCAACAGCCCAACCCACGTCACAATCACTGACAAACATCAAGCCCGGCTCTTGAGACGTGCCCCATATCAACAGTCACCACCGACGCGACCTCAGTCCAGATCTCTGGCTGCTTTTGAATTACTTGACTCTGCTTCGCGCCTTGCTTCGCTAATTGCCTTTTTTTCCCTCTCGCGGATGTCACAGGCACCCTTATGCTCTGCGAGTAAGACCTATTTGTGTGATTCAGCACGGCAGCAGCACCAGCTGCGCCATTCATCACCATCAGACACACCTAGTCAAACTCGTCATTAGATCCACATCGCACCGGCTTCCTCTCCATCCTCCACACTCACATTCCACGACTTTACGACCTAACGATATTTCCCAATCGCCACACGTCTCTGGATTGAGTTCCAACGACCCAGACCCTGACTTCCAGAATAATGGCTCCCGTCGAGCGTGAAGCTTCGAGGGACTCGGATCGCCACCTGAGACACCAACATTCAATGTCCTCCGATCAGGGCAGAGCTCTGGTTCCCATGTAAGCAACCAAAATACTGGCCTCCGTCACACCACTAAATCGATAACTTCCTCTGCTCTCTCCTGTCATGTGCTGGCCATGTCTGTCATTTGGCGTCGACTGATGAAAACCAGGTGGGATAGCTCAGATCCTGATAGGGCACCGCCGCCCCTGCCTCTCAACCCTCAATCGCCCAGCGTCGGCACTTCTAGGAAAGGAACTTCCAGCGCCATTCAGTCCGCCCATGCTGCTCTCACCGAGAGAGCGCGAGAGAGCGCAATGCTCCCTGCACCGCTGACCAAGCGGAACACCGACGGCTCGCCAGAGCGCTCCCTCATCAGAGGCTCTCAACACAAACGGATGCAGTCCCTTCAACCAGGAAGTGTCCGGGATCTAAGTCTGCTCTTGGAGAGTGGCCAGCAGTCGAATCCTCCATCCCCGACTAAGTCGCCCGAAAGAACCCCGCGGCCCTCGACGCCGGCGGCCAAGCGACGAGATAGCTTCTCTGACACAAGATCGGTGGAGAAAGAAGCCACAACCCCATCCTCGGCCCCAAGCTTGACACCAATCATACGGCCGGCTGTTAAGCGGTCACAGCAGAGCATCTTGGGGGAGAACACGCCGCCTCAGTCTGCAACAATGCTTGCCATCCAGAACATGCCGCTTCACGGCCCCAAGGAGCCCGAGGCTTCCTCCAACGGCTCCACAGCTCTTGTGAAGGCACCACAGTCAGTGGATGCTCTTTCTGGGCAGATCCTTAGCCTCACCAATATTGCTACTGCTCTTCAGAAAGACATGGCCCAGCTAAGCCGGCGAAGTCGTGACAATGCTACAGATCTGTTGAGTCTCAAAGAAGCGACAAAGGCAAGAGATGAAGACATCCGCAAAAGCTTGCGCGAACTCATAAACAATGCCCACGACTCGACGACTAGACCGTCTTCTCGGGACCCCTTCGCCAGCAGCCTCTTCCTCGACACCAAGTCCCATCACACTTCTCCTCCTGCGTCCAAGGCCGGCCGGCCGTTTTCACTTCCGAGGATACCATCACCAAACAGCTTCGCAGCATCAATCGACAGAGACAACTTGAGCACTCCATCGCTGTGCAACTCGGAGTCTCCAGCTTCAATGGCAATATTGGACAAGATCATCAGAGACATGGGCACAAAAGAGGGACACGACCTTCTGCTGGCTCGTCTCACTGACGTAGCAGAAAAGCTTGCCGGCGTTGCTCCAGCTTCCAAGGTGGATGAACTTATTCATCTCGTAAAGGCCAAGTCTGACGATGTCGTCGTATCCCGAAGCAATGGCGGAAACGGAAATGGAAATGGGAACCGGCCTCGCCCAGCCGGCTTTGATGATGACGGCAACAGCACTGATTTTGACTTTGACCCCGGTTACGCAAGTCAGCTCACTCATAGATCGGAGCGGATATTACACAATGAGCCAACCTCGATGTCCGGTTCAACGCCCAACGGGGCGTCTGACTTGGTGAACGACGAGGTCCTCAGGATCATCCGTACCGTCAAGGATAGTGTTGCTCAAGGAGGTGGCCTCACCGCCGAAGTCAAGGCACTCGTCAGAGAGCTTCGCGGTGAAGTTCTTGGCATGGGACGAGAAATTGGTAGAAGACTGGACGAGGCCAATACACAAGCTGTGTCCACGGAGCCACCAGCAACCAATGAAGAGATGTCAAGGATTGTCCACGACGGCCTTGAACGGATGAGGGAGCATATGGACGAGGTACTCCGCGAGCACCGAAGACAGTCAGCCAATTCAGTCTCCTCCAGAGAAAGCGCAGTCGATTACCAAGAGATTTACAACGCCATGAGAGCGGCTCTGCGCGATTCACAGGCATCACAGCCCAAGGCTCCCGACTTGAGCCGCGAAGACGTCATCGACGCTGTCAGGAATGCCTGGGAGAATTACAAGCCTGAGGTTGAACATCAAGACCTTGGCTTCGGACGGGAAGAGATCCTGGAGTATCTCAAGGAGGGCCTTCAGGACTACGTCAAACTAGATCGGCACCCTGTGGGTGCTTCCAGGGAAGAGGTCTTCCAAGCAGTGGTCGAGGGCCTCAAACACTTTGTTCCACCCCGTGTTGACACCCCGGCTAGTCTTTCACGAGACGAGATTCTCGACGCTGTGCGTGAGTGTCTGGAGGAATTCGAGTTTCCTGTAGCCCCGTCGGCTTTCAACCAGGAACTCACACGTGAAGACATGATCCATGCTGTCAAGGAAGGCCTCAGCGGATACGATCTGCCTACAGCTGGCTCCCTTGTGCCTCATCAAACCAGTAACGATGAGATTGTGTCCAGACTGCAGGATATTCTTGACTATATGCGAGGACAATTCCAAGTTGCATCAGAGGAGGCAAAGGATACCATGGCGGCTGGCAGCCGTGATACTGAGCATCTTCTAGGGGCTACAAAGGACGGCCTGGATAAGCTAAGGACGGACATGCAAGAGTATATGACCCATCTCAGTACCACTACCGCCAATCAAGATGAGATCACGGACACCTTGCTAGGCACCCTGGATTCCTTCAGAGATGAAATGGCTGCCTTGGTTGATCGGGTTTCGAGCGACTCAAGGTCAACCATCGAGAACCACATGGAATCCCTTCGAGACACAGTCAACTCTTCTATGGTGCCTGTCACTCCCCAGATCAACCAGAAGGAGATCATCGAAGCAGTAAGAGACGGCGTGGACAGCGTGCGTGCCGAGCTACGCCGCCCATTCGCTGGTGTGACAGAGATCCTGGACGCTCTACATGACGGCCTAGCGGATTTGCGCATCAGCATCGAAAAGGTCGGAAACCGACCGGCAGATTTGACTGCCAACGACGAAATACTGGACGCTTTGAAATGTGGCCTCGACAGTGTTCGATCGGATATCGACAATCTTCGGGAGCATCAGGGCCAAAATGACAAAGCCTTGATGACGATGAACGATGGCGCGATTATCCCAGCGATCGCAGATGCACTCAAGCAGGACGACATCAAAAATCTTGAGGTTCTGATTACCCAGCTGGGTGTCAAAGTTGAGGCCATAGAGCCAAACAATGCTGAGCCAGTCTCCAAAGAGGATCTCTCGCATATGGAGGACCTTCTGCACTCTTTGCAGGAGTCCGCGTCCAAAGATGACATACTTCGTCTCGAGGACATGCTTCGGCTTGTTCAGGAATCTGTGTCCAAGGATGACTCAACCCGAATCGAGGAAGCCCTGCTTAATGCCCCGGGTTCTGTGCCCAAAGAAGATCTGGCACGTCTCGAGGAGGCCATTCTTGGCATCCAAGAATCAATCAACCAGGAATCGGTCAAGACGAAGAGCAGCGATGCACCTAACCCAGCTAGCGCCGAAGCCGCTTCCAAAGAGGACGTGCAAGCTATCGAAACCATCTTGCGCAATACCAAGGGCCGCCTAGACGACCTCATCGACGGCGAACAAGCAGTACGGAAGGAACATCTCGACAGTCTGGAAAACATCATCCTGGAGACCAGGGAGACAATCAACCTAATAACCACTCAAATGGACGCCCTTTCTCAGAAGGACGACGTTACGAGTGTCGAGTCACTGGTCACGCAAGTCGCTGCGGGCTTCGAAGAGATGAAAGAGAGTGCATCGAAACAGCTGGAAGACCCCGAACGTATTACCAAGACTGATGTTGACGCTGTTGAGGCGGTTTGTCTTGACATAAAAAATGTTTTTGACCAGATGCTCAAGACGGACCTGGCAGCGCTCGCAACCAAGGAGGACCTGGAAAAGACAGCAACGGCACTGGAGGAGCTTAAAGCACCCGTCGAGAGCCTGAAGGCTCCCCTCAATGAGCTCAAGACACCTTTGCAGGAACTTAAAGTCCCCTTGGAAGAGCTGAAGACACGACTGGACGGGTTGACCGAGTCTCATGCTAAGGGAAGTGAAGAGCGCCAGGCCGAGATCGTCGGTGTTGGTGAGAGAGTCTCAGAGGTCAAAACATTCCTTGAGGAGTTCCAGACTTTGATGAAAAGCAGGCTTGAGGATGGAGTCACCGGAGTTGAGACTCTTGCCAAGCTCATCGAGGGTGTTTCAACCACAGTTAGCCAGAACGCTTCTATCGGACAGGAGCTGAAGGATCTTTCCGACACAATGAAGATGGAATTCGAGGAGTCCAAGGCAGGCGTAGTTGGTGCCAAGTTAGAATCGGATGAGAAGTTCCAGCAGACGACGGAAGCCCTGAGTACCAAGATCGACGAAAGGGTCGCGGAACTGATGACCAAATACGACGAATTCCAGGCAACTCTCGAAGACCGAACGAAGGCGGGAGAAGCTCGCGATGCCGACACGGAGGCGGCTGTTCTGGGAACCAAGGCCGTTGCGGAAGACCTCAAATCGCTTGTTGACACGTTGGGTGCGGCCGTGACCGATTCAATGGAGAAGATGGAAGAGGCATCCAAGACTGTATTTGACAGGGTGGAGAATCTCATGGCCAAATCTGACGAGAACCATACGGACGACAAAGCCGAGCATCAACAAACCCGTGATCACCTGAAGCAGGCCATCGACGCTGTTCAAGGTCTCCAGGGACAAGTTGGCGAAGCACAGCCGCAAATCCTTGAGGCTGTCAAGCACGTCCTCGCCATCGTCGGCCAACACTACGATTATGCCAAAGCTTCGGCCACCGATATTCAGCAACGGATTGAGGAAGCGAAACCACCCGAGCACGCGCTTCTGCCACCACCAGAGAAGTACTACGACGATACCGTAGTGCTCGAAAAGCTCGAAAAGTTGGTCGAGCACACTTTGGTCCCGTCCGAAAAGTACGACGATACGCCACTCCAGGAAAAGCTCGACAAGATCGTTGAACATACTCTTATGCCCATCGACAAGTACGATGACACAGTTGCACAAGAGAAGCTCGACAAGCTTGTGAAACATATCTTGACGCCTGTCGAGAAATATGACGACGCGATTGTCCAGGAGAAGCTCGACAAGCTTGTGGAACACGTCTTGACGCCTGTCGAGAAGTATGACGATGCGATTGTCCAGGAGAAGCTTGACAAGCTCGTGGAGCATTCGCTTGTGCCGGTTGAGAAGTATGACGACACAGCCGCCCAGGAGAAACTGGATAAGCTTGTAGAGCATTCCCTCCTACCGGTCGAAAAGTATGATGACGCAGGCGTACATGAGAGACTCGAAAAGCTTGACATTGGCCAGACTGAGAAGATCGACATGCTTCACATGGGCGTCAGTGAAAAGCTTGACAAGCTTGACGTAAGTGTCGGGGAAAGGCTTGACAGTTTCGACGTAGGTGTGGGCGAGAAATTTGACAAGCTCGATACCGGCATGAACGACAAGCTCGACGAGCTTAACACCGGCATAAGTGAACAACTCGGTAAGCTCGATTCAAGCATCAATGAAAACATCGACAAGCTGGACCTAGGTATCAGCGAGAAACTCGGGAAGTTTGACATGAGCATGATTGAGAAGCTCGACAAATGTGATGCTAGTATGGGCGAGAGATTCAACAAGCTCGACGCGGGTGTGAACGACAAACTCGACAGGCTTGTCGAGCACTCTCTCATCCCTATTGAGAAGTATGACGACAGCCCCGTACACGAAAAGCTCGATAAGCTAGTTGAGCATGTATCAATTCCGGTTGAGAAATACGATGACGCAGCTGTTCATGGAAAGCTTGACGAACTCGTCGACCATAGTCATGCAGCGGAGAAGGCTTTTGCTCAGCTTGACACACTCGAGAAGGTCCACCAACAAGTCCTTCAGACTGCTGCGGACATCTCACTCTTTCTGGCAAACCAGACTAAGAAAATTGCAGAGGAGGACGAGGACAGAGAAAAGACACTGAACGAGGTCAATCTTGCATTGGAGCGCCAGCTAGCCCTCAAGGAGCAGATCCAAGAAAACCTGCTTGACCTCAAGCAGGAAGAGGAGCGGCTCAAAGCATCAGTGCTTGGACTCAGGACTGAGCAAGATGGCTTGATACGGCAAAAGACAAGGCTCACCGCCGACGTGTCGTCTCTCGAGACAGCTCTACATTTGCGCCGGGAAGAGCTCCACGACATGGAGACTCGCGCCGAAGGGTTGGAACGCCGGATTTTGGAGGGAGTCATGGATCATTCCCGCATTCTCCTCATGTCAAAGGCAACCAAGGGACGTGACGCTATGAGCCGGAAACGTGTCCAGACCCAGAAGTCGGGCCAAGACTGTGGCGTCAACGAGAAGATTTCATCACCCACAGTCAATTTGGCTCTCTCTGCCAAGCGGAGTCTGAAGCCGCCAACCCAGACGGGGACCGCGCGTCGCATCCTGTCGCTCAGCCAGATCACAAACAATGTGCCAACAGGAGGTGTTAAGCGCAGTCAGAGTGTCAGGACTGCTGGCGCTGGTGGTAAGGGTCTTCGGAAATCTAGCTGGGCAGGCGGCTTTGCAAAGGGCTATGGAGAGTTGGACAAGGAAAATATGCTGAAGGAGACAGAGGAGGAGAACCTGCCGAGCCCGGCGCCACGTGAAGATGCCATCGTCGTAACAGAAACCATGTTGGGCAGCGACGATACGAGCGATACTGAAACTTTGCGACGAAGCAGCCGTGGTACGACGGTTGTTACGGAAGGCACCGAAAACTCCAGCGGCGATGGCGATTATTCGCATTTCTACGACAATGTCCGAAGCGACCCACAGAGCGATTGGGTTGAGAGCGGCGTGAGCTCAACGCTGGGCGACGAGACGCCAGCAAATGAGGCCACAGGACTCGCGGAACAATGAGAGCACAACCTGATTTCGCTACGGTGTTGCTACGGTCTAATTATGGCGACTATGGAACCTGTGGTCAATTCAATTCTCGCATCCTGCGAGGCTTCTGGCACACTGCGTAAGAGATAATAGTCGGCTGCTTGCTTGTCTTGTATTTGTCTTCTGCATCGTGGGGCAAGGATGATCCACCCTGCAGGTAAAGTTTGTTATCGTATTACTAGTGAGATGCGGAAATAGCCATCATCTTTTCTCCTTCCCAGTTTGTGACCATCACTTCTTTTTTTCGGTATGTCAGTGTTTGACCTGAATATGACCCCGCCTGTTGAGCCCGACTATGGCTAGTGATTGAATGAATCTCTGGTGCGATGGTTTTTTTCCCCGATGGAGGGGCAATGTAATGCGAGCTAGCCTAGCCAGCCAACATACGTACGTTCACGACGAGGAGACATTCTCTCGCACAATCTTCTCCTTCCCATCCATCCATGGACGTAGGCAAGCCGGAATAACAACAGACATATCCTTCTCATCCCATCCCACCTCCAAGAGTGCCGCCAACACTCTTGGAATAGCGAGGGCGGTCCCGTTGACGGTCCACGGGAACGTGAGTTTACCGTTGATCTTGGCCCTGGTAGCAAGTCTTCGGGTCTGATAGTCGGTGCATATGCTAGCAGAAGTGACCTCGCCCCAACCGCCATTCAACTCTTGGCGAGATGGGAAAAATGCCTCCATGTCGCATTTCCGAACGGCCGAAGCACCGAGGTCGGCAGTGGGCATTTCGAGGACGCGGCAGTGCAAGCCAAGGGAACCGAGAATCTCCGTCTGAATATCGAGCATTTCCTCAAAAACATCACCCGTTTCGTCGGCGTCCGGGCTTGTCCAGGCAAACATCTCAACCTTTGTGAACTCATGAACACGGTAAAGTCCCTTGGTGTTGGCACCGCGAGCACCGGCCTCGGCTCGGTAGCATCGGGAGACGGCAACCCTCTTCATTGGCAACTCCGAAGCGTCCAGCGTTGTATCTGATTTCATAGCGGCAAGAGGAATTTCCGAAGTGCCGGCAAGACTGAGCTCCGGCTTGCCCCTTTCTACGTCGTCCTGAGATTGTGCGAGGGCATAGATTTGCTGCTCGCCATTCTGGTCTCGCGGTTGGAACCCGCATGCCGAGGCCATGTGACTGTAGACGATACTCGGCGGTGAGACTTGGCGCCAGCCGTGCTTGGTAGCTACAGCCAAAGCGTACTGAACGAGAGCTTGCTCTAGTTGTGCCGCCTCGTCCAGGAGATAATACCACCCCCATCCTGAGGTGGTGCCGGCGGCGGCAAAGTCAAGTAAGCCGAGTTCCGATCCGATGTGAATGTGAGACCTCCAGACTGTGTCAGACGCACTAGAGGGCTCATTAGGATGGTCATTTATGTAGCTTAGCAACAGCGGTTCATCGCCAACAGGAGTAACCTCGCTGGTGAGGTTTGGAATACCCAGAGCGAGGCTTTCCATTTCTTCGACCAGCTTCGCCTCATTCTGCTCGACTACCGACAAACTTTGCTTCAGCAACCGAGCTTCTTCAAGAAGTTGTCCACGAGACATATCCTTCAAGGTGACGAAGTCGGCATCGTCGCGGACGGAGGCGGGATTGGCGATCTGACGACGGAGGAGATTGGACTTTTCTCGCACGGCCCGGCTGTCTTTCTGAAGAGCCTGCCATTGTGTGAATATTTCGTTGATGCGTGCCGGGCTCTTGCTCTGGACAGCGTAGTTCCGGTCGAGACAATTTTGTTCAAAAAGACTTGGATTTTCCCGGATACGCCTAATGTCGATAATCGGCTTGGGCGCAGTAGGTGGCCGTTTTGTATCGGCGAATGCGCGAGCAAATGTGCGACTATTGACGATGCCGTTCCTTTGCGCCGGAGACGATGGTCGAGGTGACAGCTTCACGGCCCTGGGCGAGCGATGCGTCAAACTTGGAAAGTTTCTCATGTCGACTGATTGAATTTGGCGTGACTAACAGAGAGTTCTCTACTTCAAGTTGAATCATTTGATGCATCATCCGAGGAAGTGTAAGGTGATGTTTCTCAAATCGGTTATAATGGTATCGATATTATGCATTCCCGCTCCTCGCTTAATGCAATATACGAAAGGTTCTTTCTACGCTGACGGAAACCAGATACTTTTTGTTCTCCCGTCTCTCTTCTTTCGAATGTTCATACTCATTCAAACTCCCATGCTTTGGGGGTATCATTCCTGGGCTACAGCACATGCCTGCATACTTAGAGTCTACATATCGTTAGGTCTGGTATGAAAGGTTTGTTCCGCTGAGACGATTTCGTTCTCCCTTGACAATACATTTCATCAATGTTCTGCTCAACTCTGGAGCTCCGTGTCAGACAGCGCCCCACGCACCCAGCGTCCAGTTTGCTATGCTCCCGCCAGTAGCTCCCCGCATCAAGCCCCCTGGTCCCATGCTTTGCCGCTGTTGAGCCTTGACATCGATTTCGTTAGGCCGCGAAGCACCGTTGACTCCATGTTGTATCCAAAGCTCGCGATCAATGTTTGCCATCGCTGCGACCTTCAGCTGGCATGTCAAACTGGCGCCTCCCCATGGTCCAAGCGACTCTAAAGGTCGAAGTTGGCCTTGTTTGTTTGGATATGTGTTGTCGCGCTTTCTAAGTGAGTCCTCGATGATGTCTGCGGCATCTCGAGGAGCGTTATGTGCCGAGTCTGATTTAGTTTCTGTCAGTCCCTCTTCTAGCACGACCTCTGTTGGGCCACTGGTAGTCTGCCGGTACGTGGCTCTCCGTAGCCGCGAGTTATTCTTGTAGTTTGCCGGTGCCTGGCCTTGGATAGGATCCCATCCGCGCTCTTCAACGAGGTGCAGCAGCTCGTCAAATATTCTGCGTCGTAACCCAATCACTCTGGAACAGCCACCGATGAAAATAATGCGAGACATGCAAACGGCCCGAGCGTCGATAGGCAGCCGCAAGAGATGCTGGTGAATGAGCTGGTGAACCGGTATTTCGTCGTCGTCGAAGCTGCTACGACAGAATTGCGGCGCAAAAAAGGTAGTCTCACACGGATCGGATAGTTGCTGGAATGGCACAGTCAAGGTCACAGATGGACTAATAGACAGAACCGGAATCTCAACGTTTCCCTTCGATTGCTGAGGAACCGTAGGCGATGGTGGTGCCGACTCATCCTGCTCCTCGACTGTGGGCAAACCCTCTCCGTGGTGTTGATGTCGCCTTTGCTCTGCCGCCAACACACGGTCGCTATCTGATTGACGACACCAGACCATACGACGTGCCACTTCTTCACACTCCTCAAAGCTCACTGAATGTTGGCCATGTTCTTTTTCTTGGCGTATTCTTTGTGATTGGGCAGGATTTTCTGACAAGGCAGCCTGGAGGAGGTTGTGCACTTCATCAACCAGCATCTTGCCTCCGCGGACGGTCCGCGTTGTACGGATCTCGCGATATTCGTACACACTCGTCACTACCGTTTCTGCCCAACCGAGGTCAACAACCAGCGCAGATCGAGCGCCAGCTCCAATGGCAGACGTCACCGCGGTAGACATGAGCGAAACTGTTGGTGCTTGGAAACGGTGGAAGAGAACATCGAGGGCAGCTCCGAGGAGCGGCAGAGGTACAGATGAGGAGAGGACGAGGGCAGTCCTACGAGGTCGCGAATCGATAAGGAGGAACCTGGGTAACACAAGTAAGCAACGAGCCAGAGAAAGCAGCGGGTGGCAGCGGCTTGATACTTGGTCAGGGCTTCTCGAATAGCGCGATCAATCTTGTCTTCGACAAGACCCAGGTCTGTTAATCGCAAATCGTACTGCCAGAGCTGATGATCATTGCCCCAGGCCTTGCCTCTCGGGCGTCGTCTCCAGTCATCTTGGTGGTCCGGGTCCCAGGCACGGTAATCCCCAACCCGGCGTTGCTCTTCTGGTCCGAGTGAGATGATCGCCTTGGGTGTTGGCTCACCCGCAAACCCAAGTCGGATGAATCGAGATCCTAGTTCAATTACGACGATATCTTCCTCGGCTCGTAAGCTAGACGGCGAGCCAAATGTAGACGACACCGTGCGGGACGGCGTATGCGGGCTGAGAGGGCCACCAAGACTGGAGCCGCCACCAGTCTCGGTCCGAATGTTCGAAACGGATCGATGGGCAAGACTTGGGCCTGCACTGGACGACATATTGTCAGTTCCGACAACGTACTCTTAATGTTGTCGAACGTCAAAAGATATGCGCAACAGAGCGCTTCCTGCCTTGCAGGTACGACTCCAGGCAGTGCGGCGGGCTTAGGTAAGTTGGCGGAGCTGGCACTTCAGCAACACTATGCACCCTGGCACCTCAACGCGCGGGGCCACTGACTGCAAGCCCGGTGGCCCGATGCTTGCACAGTGCACTAGCGCATCCCCGGCCTCGCCAAGTCCCCTCCACCATCGGGTGCAGCCAATGTTAACCCAGCGGAGTGGCACTGTAGCCTGAGCAACCAACCTAGTTGCTGTCTATTTTGCAACAACCCACCTACTAGGTGGAAGACGTCAACGACTACAGTATATCCAGCTTTTCAGAGCGCTCTTGGTATAGCCATTTTCAGTTTCGCAACACATGGGAGGCATTGGATTATCATGCTGTGAAACAGCCCGGAACGAACGCGTCTTCTCCCAACCTCTGTTGATCTGCAGGCAGCGAACTTCTTGAGACGTACCTTGAGTATCACGATACGGACATGTATTGAGTCCTCAACGGCATCGGATTGGTCACTCGCACTCCAATCTTTTTGGGCGCATGATCAGCAGCATTAAACAGTATCCTAATTCAGGAGCTTGCTGCTTTCATTCAAGGCTCACAATCACCGATCAAAACATTCGACCAGCACATTACCATGGGTATCAAGGGGTGAGAGAACTCATTTGTCATGTTTCTTCTCGACGTGGCTGACATCACTTCCTCAGCATCTACCGTGAGCTTGGCTCAGGTCAGAGAGTCTCCCTGGCCAAGCTGGCAACTGAGCACCTTGAGAGTTCTGGCCGGCCACTGCGCGTCGCCATTGATATTGCTATCTGGCAGTTTCAGACCCAGGCAGCACGAGGTACAGCTGTGTCACAGTGTTTTTTCTAGGTATCATGCTGACTGCCTACCAGGCGGCACCAACCCTGCGATAAGAACTCTGTTTTATCGCCTAGTACGACTCTTGGGTCTTGCGATACATCCCATCTTCGTGTTCGATGGCCCTCACAAGCCTGCCTTCAAACGCAACAAGCGCTCGGGAAAAGGTGGTGGAGTGGCAACGGCGATGGCCAAGAGACTTATCCGACTCTTCGGGTTTCCTGTACACGATGCACCCGGCGAGGCTGAGGCAGAGTGCGCCCTGTTACAACAACAAGGCATTGTCGACGCCGTGCTGAGCGAGGACGTCGACACCATCATGTTTGGATGTACAAGAACACTTCGAAACTGGTCTTCAGAGGGAATCCGCGGTTCCAAGACGCCAACCCACGTCAGCTTATACGATGTCGACGTGCTCCTATCTGCTGGCACCGGCCTGGATCGAGAGGGCATGGTTTTGGTCGCTCTGATGAGTGGTGGTGATTACATCCCAGAAGGTGTTCCGGGCTGTGGTGTCAAGCTGGCTTGTGAGGCTGCCAAGGCAGGGTTTGGCAAGTCTTTGTGTCGACTAAAGATTGATGAGCCTGTGCAATTTGAAGAGTGGAGGACCTTCTTGAAGCACCAGCTTCGGACAAATGAGTGTGGCTTCTTCCGGACGAAACACAAGGCGCTGGCCATTCCCGACGAATTCCCAAGCCGACAAGTGCTGCGCCACTACACTCATCCAGTGGTATCGAATGCCGAGACTATCGCTCAGCTGAGGGCGAGAACCCACTGGAACCGCCAAATAGACGTTCAAGGTCTTCGATATTTCGTTGACGAGACGTTCGAATGGGCCAACAAAGCCGGCGCAGTGAAACTGACCAGAGTTCTCTCCCAGAGCCTGCTAGTGCACAAGCTATTGGATCTGCATCTCACTGAGCGCTGCGACGAGACAACAGACCAGATGGAACGGAACGAGGCGGCCCTCGTCAAACGCATTTCTGGGCGCCGAAACCACCATAGCACCGACGGGATACTTGAACTGAGGGTCTCGCATGTCCCAGCAGACATTGTCGGGCTGGATATGTCAAAGGAGATGGAAGACGAACCTGTTTCGTTTGATCGACACGGGCTAGCACTGAATAGCGACGATGACTTTCACGGTGGTGCGGATGTCGAAATTGACATCACCAGTGAAAAGTCCAAAGCCAGGGCCAATTATGACCCTACTATCGCCGAATCCATCTGGCTGCCGGAATCCCTACTCAAACTCAGCGTTCCCATCACCGTGGAGGATTGGGAAGAGACGCAACGGGCCAAAGAAAAATCTCGTGCCGCAACAAAAGTCAACAAAAATAGGACGGGTAAAGTTGCTGCAAAAGAAGCAGGTGGTCTCGACAAATGGATTCTAGTGACGAAAAGTGCGTCAACAATTACGGCTATGGGGGACGCAGGTAGAATGCTAGAGCCAATACCCAAAGACAGCAACAGCAACACAAACAACAACAGCAACAACAGCAGCAATATCCATCCGGGACCACCCACTGCGTTACCTCGAGCTTCTGCCCAAGCTCAAGTGGTGACAGCAGCATCGCTACGCTCAAGCTCTGCGAGAAGTTCGACCAGTCGAAGTAAGCAATCCAGTTCCACCGGGAAAGCGACTGCCGCAGAACCGACCGGGCACAAGAACCCCTGGGCATACGGTGGCTCACAACATATGCCTAGGATTACCAAGTTTCAGCCCTCGGAGCCAGTTCTTCTGTCGTCTGGCCCCTTGCACTCGTCGCTTGCGCCTACTTGTGCGCCGCTGACCGGCTCATCGGCTCCAGATATAGTCGATCTGTGCGGTCCCGACGATACTCTGACGTCTAAGCAGCCCAAAATGTCTGCTCGACCCGCAGTCCCCAAAACACAAGTGCCTTGCCAGGTTGAACGGATACGGGCAACGACTTCAGACCTTCCCCCCCCTCTGCCCCAAAGCAAGAGATCCATAAAGCAGACCAGGATGGATTCCTTCATCACCAGCTCTCCCAGGCGACAGCAGGCGTCGAGGGACACGTTTGCATCGCTCATTGATGATGAGAGGACTAGCCCAGAACTTGGTATGGGTGACAGGGAGACCAATGAGCCTTCGTTGGTTATTTGCAAAACTGCCAGCCCAGATGCATTGTCACAAACCACCCTAGATTCGAAAGTATGGCCTGTCGACGAAAGGCCAAGCACGTCTCAATCTAAACCGATGCGTCGATACAAGACGGTGCCTCGTAAAAGTGCGGTCGGGTTCTTCAAAGAGGTTGACATAAGTGACGAGGAAAAAGAGGACAGGGCATGTGGACTGGCGAAGCGCTCGGTAACGAAGTCATCGAGGCAACGTAGTGTATCTATCATAGATCTCACTGGAGACGACTAACAATACCTCACACTGAGGCATGCTGATCATTTTGCGATACATATACATATATTATGGAGAAGTCTAGTGACTTGTCTAGAAGGCTCCAAATTTATCTCGTCGCACACAAGGTCGTCGTTGGGTATCCAAGGTTACATCCGTCCATACTAACAAATCATTTCAGTAGTGTCGTATATCATCAGTCAGAGGACCGACTAAGGCCTCTTCGTCTTATCTGCGAATTGCAGATGGGTATCTTATGTCGACGCTTCGAGCCGCTCTTCCTTTCCCCGTCCTCCTCCTTCCTCTACCTCAGTACTCAACGTGCCATGGAAGATCATGATCCCCGACGGTGGTGCAGGTGAGGTAACCAATCCCATCAGCTGTTCTCCCACTGCTAATGTCCAACTCGAGGCCACTTCCCATCAAGGGTCGTACAATATCATGAGCCATCATCTTGAGTTCATCAATCCGCTTCTCAAAACGTCGAAGATTGTCGCGGCTGTACAGCTCAGGCGTCAACTTAAGGAACCGTTTGCACTCGTCATGACCAAGATAGGACGACGATGACGACCCAAGTATTCGATACGTGCGACCAACATTTGCCAGTGGAGGCACCGAATTTGGGAGGGCAAGTTGCTGGGGCTCGACCCCACGGCCATCCCGGGAGTCTTTGAATATCGATGGACTGGTATTGTCGGCCAGCCACTGCCGAAACAAACTGACGGCGAGCCAATCTAAGTACGACGTGCTAGGTGTAACACGCTCACCCCTGGCTGTCAAGAGACTGATTCTGAATAAGCGGCCCTCGATACGGCTGACGATTTCCGCGAGCTCATCCACCTTATCTTCGATGATGTCGAGGACAATATCTGGAAGCGCAGCCCGCAAACTGCGTTCTCCTGCTGGCCATTGCCCAACTACGTGTATCATAGCCTCTTGAAAGATTACCTTGCTACGTGCGAGATAGCCCAAGCGGAGATAGGATATGGGATACTTGGCGATTTGCTTCCAAAGCCTCGACTGGAACTGCAGCAAGTGATGATCAACTCTGGGGCCGACTACGGCCAGCGCGTCATACTGATCCGCCAAAGTGAGGAGCGACTTGCATTGCACGTAGGCGTCGGCGATATTGATCCCGTCCAAAGCCGGAGGATAATTGTAAAAGATGCGAAAGAGGTTGTCGTAGTCTCTGAGCAGGTCTTGATCAGCTTGGGACAGCGATTGGGCTGAATCCGAACCGGGGATCAAGCTCAGATTGGCCACGGAGCGAAAAAAGGGTTGACCTTGACCGGAGGAGGATTGCGAATGGTCCGAGGTCCTGCTGCGTGTGGCGGGTAAAGGCTGGTGGCGATTCTGAGCGACACCACAGCCGAAGAGAGATTCAGGCCCAGACCCAGCAACGTCGGACCGATCTTCGTCCTTTTGCACCAACATTGGTATATCCCCATCGCCGGTCCCCGGATCCAGCTCGTAGCGCCATCGTTTCCGAACACCGGCTGGCGTAGTCAGGGCTCGATAGGTGGTGGTAGCAGAAGCAGAGTCGGAGCCGTCATTTATGCGACCGAGTTCGAGTGAAGCGGCATCCGAAACGGGCTTGGACCACTCAAGACTTGTACTCGCCTCGAAGAAGCCGGAACATCGGGTGAGAGTATGGCGATGCAGTAGATAGCGATTCTGGTGGCCGCAAACTTTGACTATGATCTCGACGTCGCCCGAGTTGCTAAATGTAGGAAATTCATTTTGAGGAATGCTGGTAGAGACGCCGACATGTGACCTGTTGTATCGCTTCGTGCGCGAAAGGGAGGGACGCGAAACGACCGAGGAAGGCCCTCGCAAGGTCAAGGACGTCGAAGAGTCGGGCTGCGAGACCATGAAGACGTCGCGAAACCGGAGCTGGATGTTCGAGCGACGGAAGAGGACCTATGGCGGCCTGAACATGGGGGGTGAGTCGATTGCGAATTTGACCGCCGCTGTCGATGGACAGTCACGGAGGATTGAAGACGGCGTGACGAAGGGTTGCGCAGGGGGGGGGGGTCCTGTGACAGGCTGTCGTCGTCGTTCTTGTTGTTGTTGTTGTTGTTGTTGTTGTTTTGTATGGGACCCAGGAGCTGGGGTGTCTGTCGGCCGCACGACCCTGAACACTTTGGACCACTTTGGGATGTGGTGCAAAGGCGGCACTGATCAGCCACGCGGTGGCACGCGGGGGGAGCAGTCAAAGAAGTAATCGATCAGAGGGCTAATGACGAAGACAGACGAAGACAGACGAAGACAGACGAAAAAGTAGAAATATGACAGGTAAGTCGAAGAAGGAGTAGGGGACGGGGCGGGGCGGATGGGACTTGTTGGTGTCGGGCGCGGACGAAAATTGGGAGCCGCGATCATCAGCAGTAGTGACGCGAAAACCTGCCAGACTGACAATGACGGTCGGTGTTTTGAAAGATGAGAAGAAGAGACGATGCGATAGTACGCTTAAGCAGATGTGAGGTTGGTTCGGATGGCAGTTGGAGGTTGAGGTAACAAGCAGAGATGAACCCAGAAGAAGAGTCCAATTCTCCCAGCCTCGACAACCCAACATAAGACACAGGCGAGTTCTATATGGGATGACTGGGCAGGGCACACCTGTTCGGAACGAATGGCAAAGACCCCGCGATGAGGAGAGAGGGCCGAGGCTTGGAGGCAAAAGAGAGCGTAGAGTCGACTCACCCACAGGCCAAGCAAAAACACCATGCATATGGGCAATTAGAGCGCCCGGAACACGGAGCAGCGGGACTGGACGTATGTCAACAGCAAACGTGACGTGACCCTAGGTAGCTCAATGTAGCAAGATGGGCACAACGAACACGCATGGATCAGCCATAACTTGTAAGACACTCCCTGGCCACCCTTCCAACGTCACGAAACCCTTTGCCTTGCTTGGATCAAAGAATGCCTTGGTGAACGGACGTGCAAGAGCACGAAGCGTCAGCAAGAGATTGAATGGCCATCACGCTGCTACTGGTTGGTGATGTATGCATCTCTAGCTTGTCACCTCTGGCTTCAAGGCAACATGCAGGGGCCGTTGACATTCCTAGGTAGGCACATTGGCAAGGCGTACTCCGCCAAAGGCACCTTACCTCCAGTACATAGTGTCCCCTCACGCTCTGCTATCCGTTCCATGTTTCGTTGCAACTTTCCGGCGACTGAGATGAGGCGGCCCTGATTGACTACTTACATAATACACTTTAGGTCACGAAATCCGCGCTTCCTAGTGTGCCTATAGATCCCACCCTGCCCGAGAACAGTGAGGCGGATGACCTGGATAGTGCCGCTCCAACTACCTACGCAGGACCACCCCCCTGACAACATCGGCCCTTCAGCGTGTTCTGCTAGCGACCTGCTAGGTGCCTATGGCCCCTAAGGCTACTATGCGGGCTCTTCACATTGTGTGTATTAAATTAGGAAGCTATACTCTTTATTCCTCTCTTAGTTTTTTTATTTATTGCTACTTTATAATAAATATAATAAATACTATAAATGCTTAGATATTAAAGATTAAGGCTAAGTGACTAGTTACTTAAAAATAAGTAATAAAAGATGAGAAACAAGAAATTATTTATAATATATTTTAATTGTTTATAATATATTTTAATTATTATAATATAATATTAATAGTAGAGTAGCTTATTAAGTTATTATAATATATTAGTTAATAACGTTTAGCTAATATTTTAAAGTAGTATCCTTTTATATAGGTCACTTTAAGATAAGCTTACTCTTAAATATTAGAAAAAATATAATCTAAATTAAATATAATATATGTATTATATTTATGTATTGTATTTATGTATTTTGTATTGTATTTTTGTATTTATTTTAGTATTAATTAAAACCTATTAAGTTATAGTTTTAAACTAGATTTTAATTAATATTAATAACTAATATTAAAAACTAATATTAATAACTAATACTAATAACTAGTATTAATAACTAATACTAATAAGTAATAATAATAAAGTAAAATTACTTTTAGTACTAATAATATATAATAATAACTAATAAGTATAAGTAATTATAACTAATATTATAAAATTTAAGATTAGTAAAGTATAAGTAATAGAAGTAACTTATATTAGTAAATAGTTATAATATATATTATATAGTATAAATACTCATTACTTAATAACTAATATAAAGAACTAATATTAAGAATAA